TTGTCCACAGAGATTCAGAACTACAAAACCTATATCCACCCAGCAAAGGAGGAATTAAATATCATACCATACATCTCGGTACCCAAGAATGCCCATTTCTAGTGTCTGTCTTGCAGAGTTTTAATCAGTGATGAGAGATATGGGGGATCTGTGACTATTCAGTAATGAAACGGTCTCAGGGAACTTCTTAGAGACCTGTTAGAGGGAAGGAAAGCAATCTAAGAAAAAAAGAGTAGCCATCATTAAAGGCATAAAGTACAAAATTGGTGGTTTGCTCCCACAGAAATGGTCAAACACAACTTGGCTGGCAGACAACACTGAGAAGGTGCATTTGGTATTATGTTATCTAAACAGAAAAAAATTGTCAGGGCATTATGTACTGTGCTGAGAATCAGTAAATATAGTGGCAGTTCTAAGTCACAGTGTGATTAAATGGAGGGGGATGCAATGTCTGATCACAGATTTTCTTTTATACTAATGATGGGTATATTTAACAGATAAAATGACCACTATATAGATGGATGAGGTTTTAGATTCAGGAAGAGTTTTGCCTGGACACAGTATTTGGGTGTGGATGGATGGCAGAAGGGCAAATCACCTGCAGCATGGTTGGATTGACATGACATTCCTACAGAGGAGAAACAGAACACAGGCCTGGGCATCCCTGAACCAAAAGCAACTGCTAGCCTACAGCAAGTACTTGTGATGAAGGCTGCTGAAAACTGAGCTTTCAGACACTGGATAGACACTTTTAGAATCATTTAGTAAGGTCTCACATCTTGCCCACTATAGACATGGCATGCCCACCATTCCCTTCACGTGTTGAAAGACTTTAGTAACTCCCTACTATACACCATAAGAGAACATATCCTGTACCTACCTCTATTTCTGAAGCAAACTATTTTTGAGATCAAACAGCAATTCAGGAATGAAGTTTGTAACTCGGTTATTCACCTCAGTATACTAAGCACAGTGCTTAATACAACTAAAACAGAAGGAAAAATCGCTCTTCAGAGGAATTAAAGAAAAGGTTCAGTAGTTGATTGACATAAAATTTTCTAGCTGGGAACAAGATAATTATTTGATGATATATATAAAGAGAAAAGGAAAGAAATTGTGAGAGAAAGTAAATATATAGTCTTTCATCTAGACATCACACAGGCTTTTTTTTTAAAATCTAATAATTACACCAATAATTGGAACTGAATTTCTCACACTTTTGAAAATACATCTAGAAAGACTGGAATCCACACTGCAGCTGAGGGTAGTGTAATCGTGAAGCTGCAGTCACATCACTGCTCTTAAGACAGCTGCCATCTCCTATTCTCAGTAGAGATAAACCTAAATGCACCTTACTACAATATTTATTTTCAAAATGGCTATCTCCTCACTTTGTTTCCATGTGGTAGAAATCAAGCCAATCCTAAAATGATGATGTCCCTTAATGCTTTCAGAATTTGTGATGGACCAGAATCTCAAGGACAGAGAGAGAAATATCCCCACAAGTATCCAGAGAAACAACAGCTACCTTGGAAAAAAAAATAGGAGAAATTAAAATTATCAAGAACATAAGGTGTTACAGATCCTTAATTTTAGGGAAAAAGAGTAATTTTTACATTCAGAATTAAAGCATTCTGCTCCTTTGCAATACAGCTAAATATAAAATCTCTACTAGACCTGTCTAAATCCTGTTCTCTTTACATTGCTCATTAAAATATATACCTGCCTAGAATCTGTAATTTGAGGTACGCAACTATCAGCACTATCACTTCTATGATTGAATGCACCAGGGAAATGGAGAAATCCAGATCCAAAATAATAACTTATAAAGTAGCATTTCATAGTTAGCGCACTTCAGAATGAGAATTTTCTACAGACAGCCCACTGGATACAACGAGCATTGAGACTCATCTCTGAAAAGATGTATTTAGCAGTAGGTGGATAAAAGGAGGGTAAAAGCAAAGAAGAACAAAATTCTGAGGCCACGTTTAAGTTCTGAACAACATCTTGACTTGTTTTTCATGTACATGACTCAGCATCGCTGCAATTGCTTATAAGAAAAACAAACCCAAAATCATTCCTGGTTTTGCTTAACTGTGCTCCAACTTTTCTCTAAACTGGCGAACAGCATTTATGGTAAGCATAACCTAATTGATGGTTCTGAAACGATAAGACCATTTAGACAGATGTCTGATTCTCCATGGACATTTTTTCTCTAGGAGAAACAAGAAAGGCCTGCAGCCTTAACTGTCTTTTCTGAATTTATGGTGGCAGACCTGTCCATCTGGATTAGTGTCATCTGCCCTTTTAGAAAAATATCAGTGCCTGTAAGGCTTTCAAAGATAAATTATCTATGTGAAGGAAAGATTCTGTGTTGACCTACTGATTTTTTTTTCTATTAAGATAAACTCAAATTATGCTTTTCTCCAAAAAGGCAATTACAGTTACAACTTCCATCAAAACTACCTACTAAAAATTTGATAGCACTAAATGTTATTATGCTTAATGCTTCACAGATTGTCCCTAAAAGTCACGAGGTCTTCCTAAAAAGAGCTAACTTTAAAGGAATTGACAAAGCAAATACGTTATTACTGCAGCTGTGATACTTGGGCAGAATCACCAAATCTCTCTTGAACCGGAGTTGAAGAAATGGAACTCGCTAAAGAGAGAAGTTTGCGAACAGCAATAGATCTGTCCATTGCAGAAGTACTGCAAAGCTGAAATAACACAGCACATACACCGAGTCTTTAGGAAAAAAGACAAGAATAACAATTGTGAAATAACTTGCTCGCTGGTTCAGCATCTGTAGTTAAATAATACAGCCAAAACTCTTTTCATAGAAAGAGAACCTACCAGCAGATCCACTGCAGAGGATAACGTTATGCACCATACGTACACTCACATACTTGCACATAACAGCTGTATGTCACTTTATGTGCTTTTTTTTCCCTATGCAAATGGAGTAAAATCGATTAACTGTAAGATAGCCAGAATAATATTTTATTCAAGGAAGAAGGGTAAGAGTGCACAACATGGACGGTTAACGTGCTACTTCCTCCTCCTAGCAGAGAAACATGTGTAAGTTACTCTAGGCCAGGAATGACAAATGAAATGCCTGTTCCATCTTGGTAATACAGGAAAGACCATCATCTTCTGTCTAGAAGTAATGTGAATATAAGACATAAGAGATTAGCACAAGCTCTTCCTGCTCTTTTTGACTAGTTACTCTCCATTTCTACAAACAAATAAAAGAACAAAGGATCTCACAACACAGGATTTTTGAAGGACTACAGGGAGGGGAAAAAAAAAAAAAAAGACCAAGAGAAACAAAATGTATTAATTACAGATTTTCATCAGCCCTGGATTAGAGGCCTCATCTTCTTTGAAGGTTCTAATTCACTGAAAGCAGTAAGTACTAGCACTACAAATAATAAGAAGAACGTAAAAGTGGGTTAAAACGACTTTAGCATTTTCCAAGTAACACTTCTAACCACAGAACAGCTCATGTTCTTTTAATAATTTAGCTCTTGACATATTGTCTTCCCATGGCACCCAGTTAAACAGAAGAGGGTAAATTAACTTCAGCTCTTTGCACCTCCTGTGAAAATAGCACGCTTACAAACTTGTGGATGAAAGAATGCAAAACAGAAACATAAATCAATATTTTGATTTTTAAGCTTCCTAACTTCAACAAATTACATTTCTGCATTTTTTTCAAATGTTTGTAAAAAGTATTGAAAACTAATAAAAATAATTCAACAGTGTGAGCTGGTTACACTAAGTAGACTATTTCAACAGTAGCTATTTATATTTGAAAACTCAGTATTTCCCATTATGAGATAGACTACAATAAATGAGCAGCCATTGCTCAAGCTGTACTTCTCTAAACAATAAACTGAAAAAAACCAAATATAATCTTATATCTTCAGCAGCTGATACATCCTATGGAATTTGTGGTATATACTGAGAGTAAGCAGAAATACTTTGTTTAGCTTTCAGATGTATAAGCAAAGCGATACAAGTACTGATATGTAGGTTTTGACTTCATGTTAGTGTACAAGGATACATGAAATGAAAGAAATGGTTTTTATTTAAAGTAATTTATATTGTTAACTGACTTTCCTTCTCACACTGAAATAAAATATAAATGTTATTTATGCCCATAACAATGAGATAATGAGTTGAATTATTGTACAGGTATCAGTCTTGTATACATTCTTGTTTTGAGATTCAGATTACAAAAATTAAATTAATTTTTAAATAAATCAAACCATACCTTGAGATGTGATTGCTGTTGTTATTGCTTGTAAATAGCTATTTATATAAATCAAAATACAGTCAATAGCCATCTACCTTCTATATGAAAACATACTGTTTTCCTCATGAGAATTTGTAGTTAGAATGTTAGTAGTCACGAAGGGTTACACTTCTCAGTCAGAAAAAAACAAAAAACACCTGAAAACTGAAAGATTAAATGCCAATTTCATCACTGGCCTTTAACACGCAGGCTGAAGGAAGCAGAGTTTATAAACAGTGTATAAGGAGAGTCTCGAGAAGAAGTTGCCAGCAAATTTGATACTTGACAAATAAAGATTATCATTGCTCTTTTATTAATACTTTGCATAATTATTCACAATAAGCTTGAGATTGCTGGAGTCACAAAAGTCTTAAAATGGAAAAAAATTAATACGCGTAATCAGTCAGCCAACGCTCTTGGTACTCACTCAGTCAAAACTTCATAGAAAGAAGACATGACTTCAGTATAACCGCTATTTTACCCTTCCTAACAACCTGAACAGCAATGTTTTTATGAAAATGCGTTCAGTGATCTAGCAAACCTCTAAAGGCAATTTAACAATCATTTCACTTACTGGACTGAAAAAAACTTTAATTGAATAGTAGCATAGCTCTGCAGAAATCTGCACTTTCACATGTATGCTTTATGTATTCAAAGACATCTGCGTACACCGTGTATGGTGGCACAAGAAAATGGATCTTACCACTGCAGCTGGAACTTGATGCATTTTTGCAGCCGGGGTTCCTGGGCGTGGGTAAAATTGATTAATAAACAAGCTCGGAAACTTGTACTGTTCTACAAGCTTCATTGTTTCTTGAAAATCTTCATCCGTCTCTCCTGGAAAACCACAGATGATGTCTGTAGCAATTGTTATTCCAGGCACTCTGTAAAGAAAGTAGCAAGGAACACCGAACTAAGGTCATGTAGAAGTCTTGCTCCCTTAAAAGCTAGTGTACACAGACATATAACTCTTCAACTTTATCTACAGAAACTGAGACCTAAAATGATCTTTGGAAAAAAAAAATAGAGATTTTAATACCATTGCTTGGTAATGAAAAATGCATTTGGTACTCAGCTGAGAGCACACACAATAGAAGAAAGATATTGCAGTAAACATTGGATTAGGATTGTGACAGAAGAGTGAAAACATCTGGACTAACTCCTCCTTCATTCAAAATTGCAGGTGATCAGCAGAGCTTGTTGATTTCTTGAATTCTGATTTCTTAATCCACAAAATGTATAACTTCTGAGATTCAGCCACTAGAATTTGTGAACTATTTCATGTATTATAAAGCTGCTACTGAAGTAGAACAGGATATCCAAAACAGGGGACTGGCATGCCATATGACCTAGCAATTTCGAACAAAATTGGATTTGGAGTCAGTAAGACATCCTGGAGAAGGAAGTTATCATCAATATATTCCAGGAACCTCCTGGATTGCTTATGCCCTGCTGTGTCGTCCCTCCAACAGGTATCACGGTGGCTGAAGTTCCCCAAGAGGACCAGGTCTTGCGAACATGAGGCTGCTCCTATCTGCCTACAGAGGGCCTCATCTGTTTGGTCTTCCTGGTTGGGTGGCCTGTAGCAGACCCTCACTATAATGTCACCTGTCCCTGCCCTGCCTTTAATCCTGAGCCATAAACTCTCAGTTGGCTCCATCCCCAGGTGGAGCTCCATGCACTCCAGCTGGTCACTGACATAGAGGGCAACACCCCCTCCTCATCTCCACTGCCTGTCCTTCCTAAAGAGCCTGCATCCTTCCATGCCAACAGTCCTGTCACAGGGGTCATCCCACCACCTCTCTGTGATGCCAATAAGATCATAGCCCTGCAGGCGTGCGCACGTCTCCAACTCCTCTTGTTCATTCCCCATGACGCATGCATTTGCATAGAGGCATTTAAGTTGGGCCCCTGACGAAGCGGAATTACTGGCTGGAGTTCCTTCCTGCCGCCCTTCAGGTGCCCTCCTGCTGACCTGTGATCCTTCTCCAGGCTCTGGGCATCTACTGCTGGCACTGGCATTGGATCTTTTAGTCACAATTTCCAACTCAGTTCACAAAACCAGCCCATGCCTTGCTTTAAAAAGCAAAACAAAATACTTACGTTTACAAATGCACAGGCACTGAGCTCTCATGTTATTTAGTAAGGTCAGCATTTCCTAACTCTTCCCCTTGGACTAAACATGCAGAACCCTCTGAAGCCCAGCAGCTTCAGAGCGCGCAGTTAACCAAGGCAGCCAACAGACGCAGCAGCTAGCGCAGCAGGGCGCACACGAGGGGGTGAAGCAAGGGGACCTCACTTGAAATCATGCCACAGTAACAGTCTTAGACACGGCAGTAACACATCACTGAGCATTGTCTCCAGTGGATGCTGGAGTAGCCACCCCTGCTAGAGTCGAGGCTTGCACCCAGACTGAGCTTCACGTGGTGGATGCAGCCTTCCAAGTCCCAGGTTGCAGGGATTCCCTGAGGGCTCTCTCTGCTGTCAGGAGAGATGGTCCTCCGTCCTGCAGGAGCTGTGCAGTCTTGGAGGAGCTGTGCCTCCAAGTGGAGGAGTTATGGGAGGAAGCAAGCAGGCTATGTAGCATCAAGGAAGATGAAAGGGAGATAGACAGGATCTTCTCTGCACCTCAAGAGCTTGAACAGCCTCAGCCCCCATTTGTAACAGAGAAGCAGGTAGTGTCAACCCCCAATAACAAGGGAAGCAAAACCTCTGGAGAAGGGGAAGGAGGTCCCTTCCAACCCCGACCATTCTGTGATTCTGTGATTCTGTGACTTCTGACACCAAGAGGAAGGATCTTGCCTCACCTCAGAGCCTACAACTGCAAAATAGATTCATCGTCCTCAAAGTCGAAGAGGAGTCAGATGTGCTGCCAAGCAAAGCATCTGGTCCACCTAACCCTTAAACCACATAAGTCTACCAGGAAGAAGGGGCAAGTCATCATAACCAGTGACTCCCTGCTGTGAGGGACAGAGGCACACATGTGTTGACCTGACCAGCCATCTAGAGAGGTTTGCTGTCTGCCACGGGCCAGGATTCAGGATGTTGTAGGTCTCATCTGGCCTTCTGACTACTACCCCCAGAGACCTGGGGGGCAGCAGTCAAGGGCACGGGGGCTCAGGTGGTGTGGTCCTCATCAGAAAGCACTTTTTCGCTGAGTGTGACTGAGCACTGGCACACATTGCCCAGGGATGCTGTGGAGTCCCCCTCCTTGGAGATCCTCAAAAGCCGTCTAGACATGGTCCTGGGCAATTGGCTCTAGGTGGTCCTGACTGAGCAGGGTGGGTTGGACATACTGACCTCCAGAGATCTCTTCCAGCCTCAACCTTCTGTCATTCTGTGACATGGCCCAGAAAATCAGTCCTATAACCACGAGATTACTGCATGGTATTTACAGAGCACTCTGTGGGACCCAGGAGTTATCAGCTCAGTTTTCTGAACCTGACACTAGCCAGCCAGATGATCACTGCCCCGTGAGAAAACGGGAAACCACAGCACTGTTTTGTATCCAGCCTGCTTGTGTAAAGTGGGAATAATGATAAACCTCTTCTGCAGAGAGGCAGAAATGTATAGTGCTCAGAAGTGCTCAGTGCTCCCCGCTGTCACAGATGAGACTGTTTCTACAGCACAGAGTTGATTCTACACTATCAGTGGCAATGAGGAACTGCAGAAAATATGATTTCTGAGGAAAAGTAAGAACCCTATAAAGACGTTGGTGGTATCTGTCTTAGAGCTGGCCCTGTTTCAAGTGGGGGGAAGAGATGAGATAACTTCCAGACGTCCCTTCCAACCTAAATACTTCTATAGTTCTTAAGTAGGCTACAGGCAAGGAACAGCTGAGACATTCTTCTAGGTGAATGGCATAAAGACCACTGCCACAAGCAAAGCTCACACCTGAGCTTAAGAAGGCATCTCCAAGACTGTCTCTAAGCTAAAGAAATGGCTGGAAGGCTTCTCTTCCCCTCACCAGGACAAGAGACAGCAGAACTGTAAATACAAATACATGTAATCCAAATGACATTTATAAAGCATTTGAATGGCCAAAGAGAACTAGCATTTCTTATTAGACAGTACATCACCGCAGAAAAAACGATGCCATGGTTACAGTGGGTAAAGAACCTTGAGTTTCAATAGTGGAAAGAAAAACTTCCTGCAACAACGAGCTCTGCTGGAACTGGAGAATCTGTTGGCAGAAGACCCAAGAAAGGGGGAGCAGAGAATATTGTTCTTCGTAATTTGATTAGGTGCAATATTAGAGCATGCATAGCTTATATTCACCACAATGGCCTTCATACAAACAGAATATGGTAGTAAATACCTTTTGTGACTTTTTAACTTAAAAGAAATCTTTTTTTTATTTAATATTGGCAATAAGCTTATATTAAAGCAAATGTCTTGGCCTCCTTTTTACATGTGCCTGCATATATAGGTAGGTGCACAGAAATTTATTAGACATTGTATTATTAGAATCTTCTTTCACCTCTTCCTTATGCAAAATTCCCACAAAAGAAACAAAATTCTTCCAATTCTTCTTTGAGTTAATGAATTCAGACTCCATCTTTAGAGATGAAGTTAAAACACGGCATTTGAGTGCCAAAACAAAACCAGTATAAAACTGAATGTTTTCAAAGACTTGGTCCAACAATTGTAAGTGGGAAACACAAGCTGAATATTGCACAGAACAGTGAAAATTCCCCAGAGCTGCTGGCTAAATGGCCTCAATTGCCATTGCTTTCTTAAGTCTGACAGACTGTAAGATATGAAGTTCTGCTTGATCTCAAGTAACAATAAAATTCATTAGCTTTAAGGACTGAGTGGACAGAGGAGCACTGTATTCTGCAGCATGATTTTGTTCACATTGCAAATATCTTGTGCAGTAATAGTAAGCTTATGGAAGAAAAAGGACATTACTTTATAAATCAATATCATATAACACCAGCTGCCATTTCTCGGAACATTCATTACATCTGACAAAACCATTACAATGAAGTTATTTTAACCATTTTAATGACACTATTGGCAACAGTCAAAGCACTTATTACCAATGGTAGTAGTAATACTGTCCTTTATAAAGGTTTGGTTGTTTCTATAGCAACATGAATTATAAGGTCCAATCAAGCTAGATACAATGAAATATGCTCTTTTTCTCCATAACTCAGTTGTCACTCAGTTAAAAGGAAATTACATATTTTAAGAATTCATAAACTCTACAAATGTCTGAACTGCATTTGGTGATAAGGTGTTAATTATCTTAGTAATTAGATTTCTTCCTGGATGGAATTATTACACACAAAGAAAAGTGAGGGTATGAAAAGAGACTAAGAACCACAGCGTATTCAGCAACAGCAATTACAGTTCAATCCAGTAAGACTGCCTAAAATGCAACATTGCATAGTGCACTTTTATACCACTGTTGATTATATTGTTTAAAAAGCAGTTCTAAAAGGGGAGAAAAGCAGAAGATTTCACTCAGAGTAAATTCCAGTTAAATGACAAAAATCAAGCTCTTAGCCTCTCAAAGCACTGATGAACAAAAACAAGTGCAATTAGTTCCACATGTGAAACATCATTTCTTAATGAAAAAAGAGGGGAAAAAAGATAATTGTGGAAAAATATAGAACACATATACACTTGAAAATTAAAGCAACCTTTGCTCTGACAGTCTGAAAGAAAGCAGCACAAAATTCCTTATTGCATAGATTCAGATGATGTTTAAAAAATTGTCCCAGCTATGCAATACGATGCAAAATTACATAAGAACCAACTACTTGTGCATCAGCAATATTAAATTGTTTTTTGAAACAAAACGCAGTTTATCTATTCCGAAGTAAACAAAGAAAAAACTGCTGAACATCCCCAGTAAGCATTTGGTAACATTTATTAC